GACGCTGCCGCGGTGAGAGCGGCAGCTCCGCAGCCGTGCCTGCACCCACCCCTCTCCATCCCTCCCAGCTCCACATCGTGCCCGCTGGACCTGGGAGCCTTTCTGGCTCTGGAGAGGCCCGGCTCCCGGCGGGCATCCAGGAGCTGAGGACCTGAAAATGAAGGAAGTAATATAGGGGGAAAAAAGGAAATGAAGCAATTATCCCTGCTCTGCTACTTTCTAACGAAGGGAACCGTCACCCTTATTAAGAGGCCATTAATTCATTGTCATAAGTCACCACCAGAGTGCAAGCACCAAAAATGTGCCTGGGCCACCGGGAGCGGAGCAGCATCCCCTCCTCGAGGCCGTGGGGCTGCTCACAGCTTTCTGCAAGCGACGCCCGCTCCCCATGCCCCGGCTGGGGCTTTGGGAAGCCGTAACCTCCGCCGTAGTGCTCAACTTGTCCCGGGCAGGGATGAACCCATCCATCTCCACCTGCATCGCCGTGCCCGCGCGCTCTGCCTTGCGCAGTCCAAATGTATTTGTGGCGCAAAGGATGTGGCAATTTCTCAGCCGAGATCAGCTCTCAGCTGCTCTGGGGGGGGGAACCAAACTCCCAAAGAGTTGCCAAAATATCCCCAGCCCTGCGGTTAAGGCCAGTGTTTCCCCCAGCATCCCCTCGCACCGATAGCCAGCCCTTTCTCCGGCAGGCTCTCATTATGCATTCTGCATGGAGAGCCCCGCATCAGCTTAATTAACAAGGTAAGAAAGACAGGACCTTTGAGGAAAACTTAATTATATTATCCATCTCACCCTGAGTGGCACCTGATCCATCCAACACTGTTCTCAAGTTCATTAGCAATGAATCAAGATTGATTAGTCCTGGACCTGCAGTGAGGACACGCTGGGGCAGAAGGCTTCTGCTGAGATTGCCACCAGAGCCCGTGTGTCCCCAAGCCCCATCCTGTCCCCCGGTGCCAGGCAGCCAGGATGGGGACAAGGGCTCTGGGATAAGGCAGCTGGAGGTTTGTCGGTGCTGGGATGCAGCTGTTGGAGCATCCTTGGAGCAGCTGTTTCTCTGTGCCCCCCCCCCCAACACGCCTGTGTGTCCCCCAGCTCACGCTTCCCTGGGATGCTCTGATTTATACCAGCACCCGTGTTCCCTCTACCAAGCTGCTGTGTCCCCTGGGACTTGTGTGGCCCTGACAAATGGCACATGCCACCAGCGACTGGGATCCCTCCTTTTTTCTTGCCTCTCATCCTGCTGTGATGTATTCAGGTGCCCGCAGGTCTCCAGTGAAAGAAACTTCACCAGGAGCTGCCTGAGAGCACCGAAAAGGCAATGACTCGAGGTGGTTTGTAATCCCCACTGGACACCTGATGGGAGGACAGACTCCTAATTAAATCAAGCGTGTAATCTACTGGGGACTGGTGTTCAGATTCAAACTGGCCTCGGTTCAGCAGAGCCCGTGGCAGGCGCTGCTGTCCCTTTCTGCTCAGCAAATCGTGTCCCCGAGTCCCGTGCAGCCAGGGAAACCACCACAGGCTGTATTCGCAGCTGAGCATGAATTTCAACGTTGGGGGAACAGGGATTGTTTCCTGAATCAGAGATGCAATCAGCAGCATTTCAGAGCTGTAGGTATCTGTATTATCAAGCCGGGCTCCGTAATTACTTGGATAAATTAGGCATGCATTTTCTGTGTGCAAATGTGTTGGGTTTTTTGTTTTTTTTTTTTGTTTTTTTTTGCTTGAAAACCTTGCTGTAAGCTGCAAACCGCCTCTACCACTAGGAAGGGATTGCTGGATTTTTCCTTTATAAGACGAGAAGATGCTGGCCATTATTTCTGATGCCAGTAGCACATTGTCCTGCTTATTGCAAGAAGTCACGATGAGCAGAAAAAGTTAATCAGAGACGACAAAGTCTCAGGCTGTCTGATAGCTGCCACTGCCTGCCCCTTCGCCCCGGTGCCGCTGCCCGCATCCTCCTGCCTGCTGCATGGGGTTGATTTATGCTGGCTGGTGTTTTCTGTTTAATTGCTGTCTGGTTTTAATATTGCATGAATCTGCACCCGATTCATCTGCGTTTCATTGTCTGGAGCTGTTTGTTTTGGGGCAGAGCCTGGAATACCACTGGCAGATAAGTGCTAGACCAATATAAGGTATTTTTCTTGCTCGGCAAAAGCTGAGGAGTGACCGAGCTGCCTCTTGGTCAGGAGAGGAGCCCGAGCACCCACCTCCCTCCAGCACCCAGGGGTCTCCCAGTGCAGCACCCACCAGCCCAGGTGCTCGCACGGGAGCCCGTGGGGAGGACGGTTCTTCCTCGGTGCCACCGTGCAGATGGATTTTGTTGCATGCCCAGAGGCACCGAAGGCAAAGCCATGCTCGGGGCTGCTCCGGATGCGTCCCTGCTGCCCTGGGCAGACCCTGACCCCAAGTGCCCCTCGGACACTGGTCCAGAGCCGGAGCAGTGGTCCAGAACCAGCCTGGAAGGATGCTCCGCTCTCACCATCACCATCCTCGCCGGGACGAAGGCACAGCCAGCACAGACCCCGTTAGGGCAGGGGGCTGGGGGGCAGGATGGCATCCTCCTGCCCGCCCCATGAACGTCGGTTCAGCCGGCTCCACCAGCCCCGTCCTGCCGGGTCTCGGCAAGCCCAGGTGGGTCTCAGAGGGACACCCCGACAGGGCCGTGCTTCGAGCGCGCCGGTGGGGTTTCTGCTTTCTTTTGCACCTCCTTTCTTCTGTGCAGATGAGGAGCTGGGGGGAGCTGGAGCACAGCCCAGCAAGGGTGGACATGGCACACGGCGCGGGGGGGAGGTCCCACGGCCACGCACACCCTTGGGAGCACAGCAAGGCTTTGGGGCAGGACCCCTGGGGGGGGGGGGGGAAGACCTGCCTTTGCAGGGGGGTCAGGGGCAGCCCCAGCACCACTTCGTGCACCCCAGCTGCACTTCAAGCAAAACCACCACCAGCTCGTTGCATGAGCACAGCCCGGTGCCTGGAGAAGCCATTTCTCCCCCGCTCAGCTCCAAAGCTCTGGAGAGAAGCTCAGCATCTCCCTCTAACGATGCGCCTCGCCCGCAGCCCGACACCCAGCAGCCCTCGTCTGCTTTTGAGGATGCTGCCCGCTCCCCAGCCACCCCACAGCCCCCCTCGGCCCCCAGCACTGCGCCTGCTGCCCCTCCGGCACCCACCACCAGGGCAGAAACTCAACCCGTGGTGGGGGAATCAACCCAGCTCTCGGCCACAGGTTGTCTTGCTTGGGATTTATTTAGCTCTGATCCGTCCAGGCTTGAAGGTTTAATAGTTTCCTATGTGGCTGCATCAGGAAGGAATGGGGCCGCATCCTGCATAGGGCTCTGCTCTACACTGAGGGGGGTAGCAAGGAGCAAATGTGGATCCTGCACGGGCAGGAGTGGGTGCATGGCCCCATCGTGTCGGTGCAAAGCCCACGGCTGAGAGCACTGCCCCTGCAGAGAAGGGGTTTTTTCCTGGTTGTTTTATTTCCTTTTCTTAAAATTCAGTAAATTCCCCCCCGCTTTGTTGCTCGTGAAGTTCTAGTGAGGTGAGAAGAGTCAATTGCCCTGCATTTTTGAAAAGGTCAGTGTGGGCAGAGGAGTAAAATTCCCATTTCTGTGTCCTCAGGGGGGCAGGGGCGGCACACAGCAAAACCCCGAAGCCGGTTCCCTGCGGATAGAGCCTGGGGGTTGCAGCCCCCTCTCCGTCCCCGTCACGGCAAAGCTCAAATGGGAATTACCCACTGGCGAGGTCCAACTGACACGCAGGGAGCGGGGAGAGGGTGGCTGCCGTGGTCTGGGTCTCTCTGTTGCAGACCAGGTGATGCCTTTCTGTCAGTTGGGGGAAATCCGGATTTTGGAAATTTGCAGGAAATCTGAATGTGGGAAATTTGGAGGCTTTTCCTTCAGCCCAGCACCAAACCCCTCCTCTGAGGGTGATGGATGTGAGTTATAAACTCCTTCGGCAATGCTGGCGTCGTGGAAATCACCCTGGTGCAGGAGAGTGAATTCACCTGCTTGAATCCGAGTACCATTAGGTGAATCCGTTACCCAAACCAAAACAGTTTGAGAACCAGATTTTGTTTCTGAGGCCTTTCCATCACGTGGGCCTTGTACAACCCACCCCGGGGACTCAGCACAGCCACCACAGCCGGAGACTGAGGATGCTCCGTGCATCCCGCATCCTGCCCGGGCCCCACCACATCCTCCCCCATGCCTCGAGCCAGGCACTGGCTGGAAACCCCCCCATCCAGCCTCAGTCAGTGCTTGGGGGGGTCCAAGCCCTGGGGGGTTCCTGCCCTCCAAATCCTGGAGGCAAATCTCTGGAGCATCCTGCCCCACTGACACCTTAAGGCTGCCTGGAGGGCTCCGGGGACAGCTTTTCTTGGAGATTTTAGGGGGGAGACAAAAAACCTGGGGGTGCAAGCGCTATTTTTGCCAGCTGTGGGCAAACAGCACATTTTCAGCCCCTCTTTGATCCCACCCCCGCGGAAATCTCCCAGCTCCTTCACTGAGGAGCCGTGTCACCGCGACGGGATGGGGATGACACCGGGCTGCCCTGCACCAGCCCCAGGCTCCGCTGCTGGCTGCTTTAACCTTAACCCTGCCCGCAGCCCCACGCTCCCCCATCCCACTCACAAACGAGCTTCGGAGACCTTCGCTTTGCCACCAGTGATTATCTGGGCCGGAATGGTAACTACAACCCCAAATCCCCCCAGCTGCCCCGGGCCCGCTGCCTGCCAGCAAAGATTAACAGCCTCTCAATTCTCAGAGGTTCTGTGGAGCAGAAAGGTGATTTAAATACTGGCAACCCCCTCACGCTTGAGGCTTGTTCCCACCCGTTGGGACCCCCCCGTCCCTCGTGGAGGTGTTTGTCCCCGGGGGATTTAGGGCTCTAGACATCTCCTGAGCATCTCCGGGAAGGGCTGGAGGGACCAAACCCACGGCGCAGGTTGAGGCGTGGGAAGAGTCAGAAGAGAAAAAAGTTAAAATAACAGTCTCTTATTTTATTACCAGCAGAGGAGCAGGGGGGTGGGGGGTGGGTGCCTGGCTTGGGGGGGCCACCCTGACCTGCCTCCACATCCCTGCCAGCTCCAATGCCCAAGGGGTTTCGGGGTGCTGCTGTTTTGGGTCACCTCCCCCCCACACACACACTCTGCAGCCCTGCCCTCATCATCAGAGGGGGAATGTGGGGAGGTGACAAGTGTCCACCCTGTCCCTAAATCCTCGGTTGTTCCTTACCTGCCCGCATGAGCGGTCTGTGGCTCTGGACAGGGGGGGTTCAGGTGGTGGTGGGGGATGTAACAACAAGCGTTGCTTCACCTTAATGACGAGCTGGGTCACCAGGACGGTGCTGGAGTTCTGTGGCACCGTCACCATCCCCTGGGCAGGAGGTTGGGACGAGCATTTGCAAATGCCCGGAGGAGCAGAGCGCTGCAAAGAGCCGGTGGGAGCGAGGAGGGCGTGGGAGGGAGCACGACCGGGCATCGGGGCTGGGGTGGACGGGTGGATCTGGCAGCCGGGAACCCCCAGCCTCACCCCGGGCAGCACCCAGCACCACCCGGGCAGCACCCCCGGCTGCTCCCTCCCGGCCCCTGCACCGCCTGCCCCGTCTGCCCGCAAACGGGGACGGATGAAGGACGAGCTCCTGGCATGGCACCCTCCTGGCACACCCACCCTGCCTTTGCTCCCGGATTTTCCAGCTCCGATGACTCAGCTCCCTTTTTAACTCACCAAGTGGAGCCGGGTGCTGGTGGCTTGGCTTTTAATTTTTTTTTTTTTTTTTTTTTTTTTTGGCTGGTCGGGTCATCTTATTTGCTACTGGTAACGTTACCTCCTAGGATGCTGGAAGACAGCCCGGTCTGAAGAGAAAACTAAAGTTCCCTAAATAAGCTCCGAGGTATGGACACGAGCTGCCGGGTGCTGGGATGTCGCCCATGTGCATAAGGCTTCACCTTCCTGTGCATGGCTCTGAGCCGTCCCTGGAATAACCGCGCTCGATTTGTCCGCAGTGCTGAGCCCTGCCTGTCGTCATCTCCTTTTTTCCATCTCTTTCCCTGTGAACCCTCAGGCTCAGGTGGGCAAAAGTTTGTCTGTCCCAGCGGCTGTTTTGCTAATTTTCCTCCAGCCAAGAGCCACGTCTGCTGGAGGAGACCTCCCATCTCTGCACAGAAATGCATTCGTAAAAAAGAAAGAGAGAGAAGAAGAAGGAGAGAAGCCTCGGAGTGGCTGGGAAGCTGTCTCTTCGTATTCCAAGTGTGCGGCTCAGGTCTCATATCGGCGGTGCACAGCCCATCCCAGAGGTGCTCGGTTCACAGTGTTGGTGCAATCTGCCAAACAGACGGATCAGCTAGGAGACATTTCCAAAAGAAGCTGGAACAAGGTGGGAGAGGAAGGAATAAACAGCCTGCAGGGTGGCACGTTCCTGCTCACTCACTGCCAGCCCTGGAGAATCCCATCCCTTCCACGCAAAAGGCCGCTAATGGATTTTGGCCACCCCTATAGCCCCCTCCCCTGCCACCAAAAAACTCCACCACTCACTCAACCCAGGACAACTGTGCACCACAGCCTGTCCCTGAGCACCAAAACCCAGCTCAGTGCACTATAACCTCTGCACCACAACCAGTGCACCACAACTCGTCCCAGTGCACCCCAAACTGCGCACCCCAGCTTGTCCCTGTGCATCACAAACCGTGCACTGCAACCTGTCCCTGTGCACCCCAACCCTTCCCTGTGCACCCCAGACTGTCCCACACACCACAGTTTGTCTTTGTGCATTGCAACCTGTGCACCACAACCTGTCCCTGTGCACCCCAACCCCTCCCTGTGCACCCCAACCCTTCCCTGTGCACCACAACTCCTCCCTGTGCACCCCAGCTTGTCCCTGTGCACCCCAACTCCTCCCTGTGCACCCCAGCCTGTCCCTGTGCACCCCAGCTTGTCCCTGTGCACCCCAACTCCTCCTTGTGCACCCCAGCCTGTCCCTGTGCACCCCAGCTTGTCCCTGTGCACCCCAACTCCTCCTTGTGCACCCCAGCTTGTCCCTGTGCACCACAGCCTGTCCCACGCACCAGTTTATCCTTGTGCACCGCAACCAGGGCACCCCAGCCTGTCCCTGTGCACCCCAGCTTGTCCCTGTGCACCCCAAACCCTCCCTGTGCACCCCAACCCCTCCCTGTGCACCCCAGCCTGTCCCACACACCCGTTTGCCCTTGTGCACCACAACCTGTACACGCCAGCCTGTCCCTGTGCACCCCAGCCTGTCCCTGTGCACCCCAGCCTGTCCCACACACCCGTTTGTCCTTATGCATCGCAACCTTTGCACCCCAGCCTGCCCCTGTGCACCCCAGCCTGTCCCACACACTCATTTGTCCTTATGCATCGCAACCTGTGCACCCCGGCCTGTCCCTGTGCACCCTAACTCCTCCCTGTGCACCCCGGCCTGTCCCTGTGCACCCCAGCCTGTCCCTGTGCACCCCAACCCCTCCCTGTGCACCCCAGCCTGTCCCTGTGCACCCCAACCCCTCCCTGTGCACCCCAACCCCTCCCTGTGCACCCCAGCCTGTCCCTGTGCACCCCAACCCCTCCCTGTGCACCCCAGCCTGTCCCTGTGCACCCTAACTCCTCCCTGTGCACCCCAGCCTGTCCCACACACTCGTTTGTCCTTATGCATCACAACCAGTGCACCCCGGCCTGTCCCTGTGCACCCTAACTCCTCCCTGTGCACCCCGGCCTGTCCCTGTGCACCCCAGCCTGTCCCTGTGCACCCCAACCCCTCCCTGTGCACCCCAGCCTGTCCCTGTGCACCCCAACCCCTCCCTGTGCACCCCAACCCCTCCCTGTGCACCCCAGCCTGTCCCTGTGCACCCCAACCCCTCCCTGTGCACCCCAGCCTGTCCCTGTGCACCCCAACACCTCCCTGTGCACCTCAGCCTGTCCCACACACTCGTTTGTCCTTATGCATCGCAACCTCTGCACCCCAGCCTGTCCCTGTGCACCCCAACCTGCGCTCCACACCCCCACCCGCAGCCACAGCCCGGGGCTGCGATTGCACCAGCCACGTGCAGGTGGGCGCCTCCGGCTTTGGCAACCGCTCCGCCACCACTCTGCTTATCCGGCCGGCTGCCAGAGGGGCACAACCTCCCCAGGGTCGGGCTTCACGGCCTCTCTCCCCGCCCGGACCTCCCTCCGACCCTACCTTGGCTGAGCAGCTGCAGGTTTCGGACCTCTTCGCGCACCTGGAGCTGCAGGACCTGCTGCAGGACCTCCTGCCGCTGCGCCTCGTGAGCGATGCCCATGCGCTGCAGCTTCTCCCCGTTCAGCCGCAGCAGCGCCCGACCTGCAAACACGGCCGGCAGCGCCGCGCCGCACCGGGAAAGCGCAACTCAAACGGGAGCCCGTCTTCCCGTGGGAACAAGGAAGGGGGGAAAAGGGAAGAAATCCTAAATTGCTCTTTCACCACCTGGACCCACAGGGATGGAGAAGCCCCACAGGCAGCCCCGCTTTCGGAGAGCACCGGGTGGCAGCTCGAGGTGCCCAGCCTCCGGACAGGTACTGGCTCCAGCCACCACGTAACCCATCCCCGCAGGCTTTCCATTTCTCCCCTCCACCTCCCGCATCAGGAGATGTTTTTCCAAGCCCGCGGTCCCCGCGCAGGCTGGCTGTCCCCGAGGAATGGGGGTACCCATCAAAACACATTAGCATCGCCGCCACCGTCCCCGGCAAGCCACTCTCCTCCAGTCCGGGGGCTATTAGACGTGGGATTTACAACCACCTTTTGTCCTTATTTCCCAGCGTACATTTGCTAATGCTGCTTTTGTTTCCCATGCAAGGGCTGGCTCAGCTCTTGCATTAGGGCTTTGCATTGCATCCCTCCCGGGCAGCCCCAGCACTCCCTTGCCCTGCTGCTTTCTCCTGGCCCTGGCAGAGCTCTGCCCGGCCACGCACACATCGCCGTTGGACTTGGATGATGTTCATATGTAGAGGTCAAAGCCACTGTCCCCGAGGGGCAAAGGGGAGGGAGCAGGTCCTAGAGGAAAGCATCCTCCAAGGACTTGTGTGGGAGTTGGATTCAGACCCGGACAAAGACATTTGCAACTTGGACTCCAGGTGGTCAGAGATCTTTCCTCTTCTGCAGAAAATTTTCAGTATTTAAAATATTCTTGTTGTATTAATCTAGGCGAGGAGAAGACTCTTCCCCATTTTATGAACCACAGTTTCCCCTACGCTCATTTTAAACAACCTCCAGCCTGTTCTGGAGCTCACCTCGGTGCCAGATGCCTCCTCCCCAGCCCGGGTGGGTGTCCCCGTGCCCGGTGCCGTGGGGCACCTCTCACCCCAGCTACCCCTCCGTGGGGAGAGGGGACAGAAATGTCTGTCGTCTGAACCACAAACCTCCAAACAACTATTTCTCAGGAGCACTTGCTAATGGCAATTAATACTGGTGAATAAGTGGTGGTGTCTACCATACCTGTGATGGCGTGGTGGGAGAATGCCTCGACGTAGATGAGATAATTATGTGGGCAGTGCTTCTTCAGCCATTTGCACACATCCTGCTGGGTCCAGAGCACCACTGGCTTGGCCAGGCTGCCCAGCGTGGGGCTGGTATGGTAGATGCCATAGTGGTCACAGGCACGGCCCTGGGGGGAGCGAGAGGGGAGAGGGTGGGTGGGATTCGGCCCCGTGAGAAGGAGAATGCCTCGGCTGGGAGGTCAGCCCACGGGGACGGGGGAGATGCTGAGCGATGCTGGCACACTTTGGCTTTGAACCCTCTGGAGTCCCTGCAAAACAGCAGCAGCAGAGGAACTGGCGAGGGAGTTGTCCAGGCGCTGTTGACCTTTCCCATGCCGGCACGTTTCTGCATCAGCCTCTGCCTCTGCCGTGTCCTGGACGTGGGTGACGGCTGTGATGGTGGGGACCCTGGCAATCCGGTTCCCCAAAGCATTAATTGCCACTGCTGACCTCCATGTGCAAAAATTGGCTAATAAAGCGTGCCTAATAGAGGAGCAGGGATAATTAGTGGAACAGGGACTTCAGACACGCCACGGTTACTGGCACTAATGACATGGCCCTGAGAGATGCCAAAGAGGAGGTGGCGGAGGGCGGTGGGGCCCAGGACGTCTCCCCTGGCCCCGTGCTGGACACTGGTCACCCCGCAGAGCCCTGGCAGGAGCTGCTGCTGCACCCAGGGGAGCATTTGGGCTTGGAAAGGGACTTTTCCCCAAGCAGAGCTCACCTGGGGACATTCGAGCGAGAGGGAAGGAGGCAAAGTTGGGAGGCTGTAAGTTAATCACCAAGGAGTCCGCCTCCAACACAGATGGAAAATGCGATAGACGATGCGCACGATTTGGTTTCCCAACCAACCCAAACCCCGCTTTTAGGGGGGACCCCCCCCAGTAGCTGCCTGATCCCCCCCCCGACACATCCCTGGAGCCATGGGCCCGCAGCAGCAGCCCTGCCTGCCATGGTTGATGGGCTCCTTCACACTCGGCTGAGCGTGCCGGAGAGCGTGCCGTGGGCTGGAGGAGGCGATTTGCTCCGGCTTCGCTAACGAGCGATGATGAGAAGCAGAGGGGCTGGGGGGAAATAACAGCGAGCTCCCCCCCCCCCCGTGCGCTTCCCACGAGCTTCCCGCAGCTATTACCCAACTAACCCTCCGAGGCATGGGGGGCGGGAGGGGGGGAGAGGTGACAAACAACCTGCAATTTCCCTGGGCACGCTCGCGTCTGCAAACGCTTCGCCCAGCAGACACAGCCCCACGCCGGGGACCCACCTCAGCATCCCTAAACCCTGCGCTGCCGGCTCGGGGCGGGGGGGGGGGGCATCCTCCACAGCGGTGGGCAAAGCCCCCCCACCTGCCCCGGCGGGTCCCTGAGTGGGCGGGGGAGGTGTAATAAATCACAGGCTCGTTTTCCAGCCGGTTGAGCTGTGCTGTCTCTCTGATAAACCCTCAGCCGTGAATATTGAGCGCCGGTGTTGAGGAGGGCGGGCGGGAGGGCTCGGAGGCTGCTCCGGCGGGGGAGGCAGGAGGTGGCTGGGTGGGAGCAGGGTGGTTGGAGCCCTGCAAGGAGCAACTCGCATCACCTCCCTCCTCTTGGGTGTTTTTCCTTGCTTATGGCAAAATTAAAGCCTTTCTCCCTGCCAAATCCCCTCCAGGAGGCAGGCGGGGGGAGAGCCATGACGAACGCAGCCGGCAGCCGGCGAGCGGCTGGCGTGTCCCCGCGCAGGCAGCAGCGCTGGTCCCCCCGCTTTTCGCAGAGGTTTGAGAGGGAAGGAGCCGCTGGGGAGCCTGGAGGGGCGATGGGGACAGTGCCACCAAGACAGGGGACACCCCCCCACACCCCAGCTCCGGAGCTGCCACTCCTGTGAGCATCACAGCGTGATGATGGGGCTGTGCCCGGCCCTGCAGGGACTCTGCTCTCCCCCGGTAACAAACCAGCCAGGCCTTTAAGATGCAAAAGCATCTCCACGTTGAAGGCTGGAAGCTGGGCAGGCCAATCTCCCCCATTTTCTTTCCAGCGGTCACCAGCTGGATGTGCTGCCCTGAACGCCACTCCCAGGCTGTTACAAAGGGGTTGGGAAAAACTGGGAGCTGCTCACGGGGAAAACGCTCCTTCCCACGGCTGTGCAGAAGCAGGGCAGTGGCAAATGGCTGGAAACCTTTGGCTCGCAGCCTCCTGACTGAAATAAAATTCACAATTTTAGGAGGACAGTGACCCAAACCTGCCTAAAAGCGCTCAGGGGTTTTAACGTCCTATAAAGAATTTGGTTCTGGCATGATGACTGCAAAACTGTCTTAAGTCCCAGCTCCAGATGCGGAGGGAGGTGATGCACAGATTTCACCCCAGCACAGCCCCTAGCCTGATGATAATGATTAAATGTTTATATTTATATCTATTACTATAATTAAATGCCCAATAACCACGAGGGCTTTCAGCAAAATGGGATCTGAAGGCCTGATCCTGCAGAGAAAGGAGAGATGCTCCTGCGGGGAATCAACAGGATGGGGGGGGGGGGACACACGAGCCTGGGCAGCCCCGGCACAGGGGCCGGGGGGGTGCAGGGGAGCCCGGCAGGTACCTGCGAGCCCTCGGTGCCCGGCTGCCGCAGGAGCTTGACGGTCCTGCCGCCGTCGGCCCGCTGGCTCCGGCCGTCGTGCCAGGTGAGGCTGCTGCCCGGGTTCCTCTGCAGGCGGTAGCTGAGGTTTTCGGCCGAAACCGTGTGCTCCAGGAGGCTGCGGCAGAAGCTGATGTGAGCGGCGGTGGCTGCGGAGGGAAGGAGGGTGAGAGACGGCCACAGTGCCCCTCCACCCCGTGTTTGGGCACCTAAAAACACCTTTTCTACCCCCATGGGACCTACTGAGCTTGGCTGTACCCACCCCCCCCCCCCCAAGCCAAAACCTGCCCCATCCAGCCTTCCCATCCCATTGCCAGGGAGAAAAACCATCAGCCCACGAACCCGCCGGGAGCTAGCAGGCGCCAGCAAGATGTTTGCCTACACAAAGCCCTCGCGAGCGATGCTTGTTTTGACACCCGCCTGCCCAGCAGACGGGGGGGGGGGGGGGGGGAGGACACCTGCAGCTGATCTTCGCCACGCGGTTTATAACCTGCTCGCCACTGCTGGGCGAGACGCCGGGAGGGGGGAGAAGGGGAAGGGCCACTTTCCGTGGACTTTAAACTGCCACCACTGAGGGACGGGGAGCAGATAAACCCCCCCCCACCCTAGGCAGCCGAATGGAGAAGGGGACGCAGGTTGGTGTCCCCCCCAGCACAGACCGTGGGGTGCTGGGGATGGCTGCTGCCCCGCTGGTGCCCAAACCTTTGCACCCAAGCGATGGCCAAACACGTGCCAGCCCATCAATAACAACCCACAAAGAGCCATTTTCCCACAACAAGTAGTTTTTGTCCCTCACCCCTTGCGTTTTAATAAGCTGGGGGCATTGGGGTTGCAATGAGGATGCGAAGCTTTCCGTGGGGGTGAAGGGACCCGGCTACTGTGGGACGGGGGACACGTGGGTATTAGGGTCTCCTGTGTTCATCTGTGCCAGAGAAAAGCCATCTGGCTTGACATAAGCAGCGCTGATCCTCAGAAACAAAGACCAGAGCATCCCCCAGCTCACCTGCTCCCACCACAGCAAACCGAGCAAGTCATGAGACCACCAAAAGCAGAGCAGCACCCGAAGGAGATTCACCTCTGGGGATAACCCACCCTGGGAGAACAGAAGGGCTGGAGAAAACGCGCAGCAGCTCATTTTCATAATCAGTGGGTTTTAAGAGGGAAGAGGTTGCAAAGAGACGTGTCGAGCACACCTTCACGCAAGAGGAGGCTGGCCAAAAGAAGTCGAAACGGAGCAGGAAATGGTTGTCAATGTGTCCCAGGATATCCAAACCGCATCACACCGCCTTGCTCCTTAAACACACCCAGCGACAAGCGTTGCCATGGGGAAACTGAGGCAGGGGACCTGACCTCGCTGGGGAGGCGAGGGTTTTTACAGAAAACAAGCTGAAGGGCGATCCACGGAGAGGCTCGGTGTCGAGCAGAGACAGGGGTGGTCTCTGTCTGTCTCGGGCAGTGGGGATGTCTCTGATGGCTTCCTACAGCCTCAGACACCCTGGATCCGGCGGGTGAGGACCGCAGCGGGTTGTGCTCCCTCCAGCCAAGGGTGCCTGAGATACCCCCAGCCCCTCCAAGTACCCGGCCCTGCCGTGGCCGTGCTGAGCTGGAAACTGCCCGTCCCGCCGGGTTCTGGGGGCAGATATGGACCCGGCAGGTCTGGAGGGGCTGGTGCCAGAGCCGTGTCCTTTGGCTGTGCCGGGGCTTCCCCAGGACTTGCTGCAGAAAGGCTCAGTTAGGGAGGGGCAGGGAAAGGGGGGGTCTGGCCATCACCAGGACCTATATCCATAGGGGACTATAGGGCATCTGCCAGCAGCAGCAGGACGGGGGCATCTACGCTCCTCCAGCAAACAGGGCTGGAGGCGAGAGAGCCGGAGCGAGAGCAGATGGGAGAGAGGGGGGAAAGATGAAGGGAAAAACAAGCCGAGAAGAAAGGCAGGGCTGGGAATGCCGGCGGCACCGCTCCTGTCGGGGGGTAGCGGCTGCCGCCCCGGAGCCCAGAGCCCCCAGCAGCTCCCCCAGCAGCTCCCCCGCAGCCTCCTGCTCCCCCAGTCCAGCCCTTGAGTCCCAACTTTCCCAGCTCCGGGCGGCACTCACCGTGGGTGAGGGTGACCCAGGGCATGCGGGAGCACTTCGGAGCAAGGGAAAAACGGGGGCAGAGGAGCCCTGCGGCGGGGCAGCCCCCGGTCTGGCTCCACGCAGGGACACGGACTCTCCTTTCCCCCCCTTGCCCTACACAGGAGCAACCACAGCATCTCCCCGAGCCCCCCAACCACCCTCCATCCCCTCCGCTCCTCTTTCTCCCGAGCCAGAGGCTGTGTTTGCCGGCTGGGCACGGACACGCAGCATCCCCCCCCAAAAACCCCGCTCGCCCCGCAGCCCCCCCAGCCGTGCCCCGCAGCCCCCCCCCCCCCCCCCCCCCCCCCACCTGGCTTGGGTGGTCCCTGCGAGCTGCGGATGGTGGAGACGCAGCAGAGGGATGGCCAGCCCTGCTGCATCTCGGCGGGAGGAGGGATGCGTGCGGGCGCTCGGCAGCACTGGCTGTCACGAGCGCGGCTCCATCCCTGCCTCCCCTCATACCTCGTCCGCACCTGACTGACTCCCCCGATCGCCTCCCTCCCTCCCGCCGCCAATAAACCGGGGCCGCACGCTCGCCCTGGCTCCTCTGACAGGCAGCCCCCAGTTGGCCTCGCACAGGGAGGGGTGGGGGGGTGAATTACACCCCCCTCCCCGCTGCCCCGTGGGCGTTTGATCCGGAGAGATGCTCCGCGTTTTCCCCGCGTGCTCCCGCCTAATCCCACAGCAGGGCCAGCTGGCACTGGGATGGATGGGAAGCCTGGGGGGCTGCTGTGGGAGACACCGGACCCGCCGGGCATCAAAGCACCCTCGGGCTGAGCGGAGCCGTGGCAAAATCATGCGTGGCAGCACCGGGGTCACCGGTGGCTTGGGGCTTTTGGGGGTGAAGGAGGAAAAGAAAAGAGGGAGCGTGGTGCTGAGCATCCTTCCCAAGCAGGGCTCGGCACCGTCTGTGCCTGCAGCCAAAGCTGGCACGGTCACGGCCCCGTGCGATGGACACCCCACCGCCTGCTCGCGGGCTGGGGGATCGCTGCCGGCTCGTTTTCTCTCAGTGGCTCTTGGATCCATTTTGGGCACCTCTCCAGCCGCACAGGACAGGCAGATGGGGAGGCCAGGGGTCAGGTGCACCGCAGGGCGACCAGCAGCCGCCTGCTCCGGGCACTGGGCTGGGGTCTGCGGCAGCAGCAGGGACAGACCCGGCTCCCCCCTCCTCACCCGGCACGCCGCCGCTCCTTTTCCTTCTCCAGACACTTTTATGGCTGGTGAAACGTGAGCCGCTGGAGAGGCTCAGAGCAGCAGCAGTCACTGCTGGGGAGAGGGACAGGAAACCCCCCGGGGATGGAGACCTCGGGGCAGGACGTGGCAGCATGAACCAACGACAGCATCCCCAGGCTGGACCCAAGGTGGGCGAGGGGTGATTGCTACCAGCAAACCAGATTCGAGCTGACTTTCCGGGGGTGCTGCCTGCCTTCTCCGCAGGTGCCCGGGACCTGTGCTGGAGAGGCAGAGAGCAGCCAAGCTGCAGAAGGAGCAGGCAGAGGCACGGAGAAGGGAGCCCAGCTCCCTCCTCTGCCACCGCTTCCTGGCACGGCCTCAGGCACATCCTCGTGTCTTTGACACCATCACACGTGTGGGTGTCCCACAGACCTGCCCTCTCACTGGGGATGTGTCTGCAGGGAGGTGCCGTGAGGGACAGCCAGGCTTCCCGGGGTCAGTCAGGCTTCCTGGGATTAACGGCGAGCCCTGGGAGAAGCATGGAGCAAGCTTTGCAAGGAATAAAAATGTCTTTGTCGGTTTGCCCGGCTCCCGGTGTCTGGGTGGGAAAGACATTTAGCACCAAATGGGGCAAAAGATTTGCCTGCAGTCAGAAGGATTCGCAGGGAGCTGGTCATCCCGCTCATCTTCCTCCAGGCGGGCGAAGGGTGGATGAGACCAGAGCTCTCCGGGGATTCTGAGGATGGGGAATCCACTCTGCTTTGAGAGGGACTCATCTCGCTTTTAGTGGTGTCTGCACGAGCCACGAGCCCGGCTGGCATTCCCGTTTCCCCAGTCCCCTCTGTCCCTTCCACGTGGCTTCACCCTGGTGCAGGGCAGAGCTGCTGCTTGTGCTGGCGGAGCCCCCAGGGAGGCAGGGATGCTCTCTGGGACCCCCAAGGCACTCTGAAGCCGTATCCATAGGATGTCCTTATGGACCAGATCCTGCCCTGAGCCATTCCCTAAGACCTGCTGGCCCCGAGGAAGACAAGACCACATTCAGAGCGGATTGACACCCCCTCAAGCTTCTCCAGCTTCCCCTGGGGCGTACTTAGCCCAGGCCTGGGCTGCCATGAGCATTGCCCCAGCATTTCTCTCAATTCTCTGCTCACGGAGGTGAGATGGGAGCCCGGCACGGGGATGGAGCTCAAGCCGGCAGCTGCTCACAGCTGGTGCCTCCCGAGGAAGGAGGAGGAAGGGAACAAAAGGCAGATGCCCTTTCAGTCCTCCCCGTGCGCAGCACCGTGCCCTGGGCGCACGCTGGGGAGGGCACGTGGGTGCTGCCTGCCTGCCTGCGCGGTGGGATGGGCCTTTGGGGGAACTGTGCGAGTCTTTGGGGGTGTCTGTGCTCCTGAGCCCTCCGTGGGTATGGCCAGGAGGTCCCCGAGCACCCCAGGACAGGGGATCTCTGTAGGGTTGGGCACCCAAGAGAGTGTGGGGTGAGGGCAGCAGGCAGGACCTTGGGGTGGCTCTGGGCAGGGTCTCCTGGCAGGGGGCAGGCGCAGGAGCCCCCAGGCATGGACACCCCTGCCTGCAGCGAGCCCCCTTCCACCTTGGCATGCGCTTCCCGGGGGGTCCTGCCCTGTTCCAGCACCCCCAGGCCTGCCCTGACCTGCCCTCGCACCTGCACCCCCTCTCTCCAGCCAAATCTCCCAGTCCATTTCACTGGTACCTCATAATACTGGGGGTAGGGAATGGGGACAGACCCTCCCTGGGATGTTGAGGGCAGCAAAGGGAGATGTGGAGGGAAGGACCCCCAGGATGGAGGGGGCAGCACTGGGTGGGGGTGGGATGAAGGGCAGACCCCCGGGATGGAGGGGGCAGCACCGGGGGAGGAGGGAGGGGGCACGCCTGGAGGGGTGGGGGGGGATGGAGGGCAGAATCCTAGGATGGAGGGGGCAGCACCGGGGGCGGGGGGGGGGGGATGGAGAGGCAGCATCGGGGGAGGGGGGGGATGGAGGGCAGACCCCCGGGATGAAGGCGGCAGCACCAGGGGGGGATGGAGGGGGCAGGACCGGGGGGGAGGGATGGAGGGGGAAGCCCCCCCAAGGGACGTGACCGCCGCGTTTGGGGCTGGGGGGAGGCGCGTCCCGCCGTGCACCTGAGCCCACCCCCCCCCACCCCCCCCCCCCGTGCCCGGTACCTTCCATGTCCTTGGGCCGGCCGCAGCTCATCCTCCGCGCAGCGGGGCCGCGCTCAGGCGGGGCCGGAGCCCCGCGCCCCCCCCGCCCCCCGCCAGCGCCGCCGGCACCGGCCGCTCCCGGCCCGCCCCGCCCCGGTGTCCGCGCCGGGGGCGGCGCCGCGCTCCGCTCCCCCCGGGCGCTCCGCCCCGTCTGCCGCCCGCTCCCTTCCCCGAGGATGCCCCCAGCATCCCTCCGGATCCCGGGGGCCACCGGGCATCGTCGTCCCACCCCACCCCGGATCCCTTGCTCTCGGAGACCACCGGGCATCATCCCCCCGCCCCGGATCCCTCTGCCCGGAGACCATCGGGAATCATCCCTCTCCCCCGGATCCTTGCCCGGGGGGCCAGCGGGCATCGTCCCCCCCCCGGATCCCTGCTCAGAGAACAGCGGGCATTATCCCCCCACCCCGGATCCCTCTGCCCGGGGGCCACGGGGCATCATCCAGCCCCCCCCCCGGCCAGATCCTTGCCTGGAGACCACCGGGCATCAGCCCCCTCCTCCGGATCTTTTCCCCGGGGGCCAGCGGGCATCATCCCCCCCACCCCCGGATCCCTCTGCCCAGGGGCCATCAGGCATCGTCCCCCCCACATACCTGCCCAGAGACCATCAGACATCGTCTCCCCCCGGATCGCTGCTCAGACACCGCTGGGCATCATCCCCCTGCCCCAAGTCCCTGCCCGGGGGCCACCGGGCATCATCCCCCCCAGATCCCTGCTTGGAGATCACTGGGCATCATCCCCTCGCCCTGGATTCCTGCCCGGAGACCATCAGGCATCGTCCCCCCCCCTGGATCCTTGCTCCAACATCACCAGGCATCATCCCCCTGCACCAGATCCCTCTGCCCCGGGGGCCATCAGGCATCATCCCCCCCCCCCCCCCAGCTCTCTCTCCAGCGAGGGGGACGGGTCCTGGGGACACCAAAGTGCAGCGGGCACCGTGCACAGGCTTTTGCTCATGTTTAGGGTAGGCACAGGGCAGAAAACAACACCTGGGTTTTCCCTTCTCCCCCAGTTTCCCTTCTCCCCCCAGCCTGCAGCTCCCCATATGGGTGCAGCGGGGCGGATGAAGGAGGGTGCTGGTCGCTTTGTGTGCAACACGGGCTCTAGTGGGTGGCCTCAACATGGGTGGGCACCCACCAAACCCCACCAGAGCGCAGCACGGAGCAGAACGGCGTCACCAGCACCCGTCCCTCCCCCAGGGTGACAACCCCACCAGTATTTTTGGCGGCACCTGCCTTCAGCTACTGCACCTGAGTCCCAGCCAGGGACCGTCACTGTCAGCCCATGGGATGGGGACACCGCTGGGTGCCCAGGACGAGGACAAGCCCGTGCCACGATGCTTCACTTTTGCAGGGTGTTCCCCATCACAAACCCACCACACCCTCGCCCTTGCTTTAAGACGAGGAAAACTCAAGTTTGCGGGATGCTGCTCCCAAACCCACGCTCCCTCCTCAGCGGATGGCTCCGGCAGGGTTAAGCTGTAAATGTGCAGCGGGTGGTAGTGACCTTGGTTGCGTGGCTGTTCATGGTGCTGGCACAGCTGCAGCGTAAAACCCACTCGGATCCAGGCACCGCCGCACTGTGCACGTATGAGACACTTGCAAAAATTAAACTCCCCCCCCCCCCCCCCCCCCCCAGGTCAAGAGGAGGTTTCCAAAATTTTGGGTGCTCGCTCAGGAGCTGCTTCGGATGGGGGTCAAGCCACCGGCCAGGCTCAGCTCCGCGTCGTGAGCGAGCTGGTGCTGCCACGCTCGGTGAGCCAACCGTGCCAACACCAGGCCACAAACCGTGCGCGTAGCCGGCAAAAAGTCTCCTGCTCAAATATCCCCCCAGCCCTGGTGTTGGCATTCCTCCTCCTCTTACCGCTGCAAGAGAGCGGTCAGGGCAGTGCTGCTCATTGCAGGCATCCAACTCCATCAAATAAAGGAAGAACCTATTTCCCGTTACTCTGAAATTCCCAGTTCTCCCTCAGATTTTGTCTACACCCGGAGCTTTCAAGCCGTGGCAGATATCTTCCAAGAGAAATATGGTTAAAGACGGGCCTTGGCAGAAAAAGGCTAATGTTGCTTGAAAAATGTGTGCAGATTACGCCAAGCTGTTATTAAAAATAAGTGCTGCACTCTTTCCAGCCTTTGCCTTCCCTGATTTTTCTGGTAGTAATTGCACTTCTCCAGGAAAGGTTTCATGTGTCTTGGGGAAGGAATTTGTTTCCTCATCATCATTTGCAAACAGGTCCAGTGCCAACCTCGCCTCCTGATGCTGCTCGGTGATGGCTGCAGTGGGGTTTGGGTGTGTTGGGAAGCCCAGACCACTCACCCGTCTGTAATTCCGAAGGATTTTCAGGAAAACCCCGTGCCTCGGGGCTGCCTGGGGAGGGCTGGGGAGATGGGGTGGTCCCACGCATCCCCGCGCCTGCTCCACGCTCCAGCCACCCTAGGCTGTTGCAGCACCCAGCATCGTTCTCGGGTCATCAACCCAATCCCTCCCAAGCTGGAGTGTCTCTTAACCATCCCCAGCGACTCTGCCTTGGGTTTTGGTCTGCCTTTGGGTCTTTTTGTGTCTGATCGAGGTTTTTCTGCAGTTAAACAGGAGTTAAATAACAGGAGGGAAAAGCCTGTGCTTTGAACTCAAATCCAGAATATAGCTCAGGAAGCTCAAAGGGCCAGTGAAGGGCCCCTTCCCCACATGTTGGTGGGGTGGGAAGGTGACAAGCTGGGGACACCGGCTCCGGTGAGCCCCGGACCTACAGGTTTCCCCTCTACATGCGCACGGATTTGGGTAGGGAAAGCACCAATGTCACCGTGGGCCCCGTCCCTCCCCTCCGCCAGCCTCTGGGGAGGGTGCAAGGAGGGGATGATTCAGCACGTTCGTTTTTCAGAGAATAAAGGAAGTAATTAAACATCAGCTTTCCTCCTGCCGCAGCCCTGCGAGGATGAGAGGGAGAAGATAAAAAGCCTTCAGACGGAAGTTATTTGTCTAAGGAGAAAAGTGGCTAATTTCTCTGTTGCTTTGCTTGTCTGCTCGTTAATGAAAACCGCTCGTCAGCAGGAAAAGGGAGCACCCAGCGAGGGGGGAGGAACCGCACCAGCCATCGGTGGCCGGGCAGGTGGCTGTCGGTGGCCGTGGGATGTCCCATCCCTGTCGGGATGTCACCTTTGCAAAGCCCCCCCGTGGCATCCGGGCACTGAGCTGGGGGGCTGCAGCTGCAGCCGGGTGTCAGGGAGCCCCCCCTTCACGTCACCCTGCGGGCTGGGGACCAGTGCTTGCAAGGCAAACCCCACAGAGGGTTTTTTCCCAATTCCGCCCCTGCCCCCCCCGGAATTTTTGTGCAAAGAGTTTAAAATGAGTTTGTTAAGACACTTGCAGGGAGACAGAATAGAAAACAGCTTCGTGCCTGAAGCGGCCTGCCTGGCAGGGGGTGATGGATGGCGCTGAGCTCGACTGGGCATGGGAATATTTAGTGTTATGAAAATCTCTCCCTGAAAAATAATTTATTTCCAGGCTGATAATAAAGCACCAAAGCTCATTGCTGCAGGGTGGGGGTTGCTTCAGGTGGCACCGAAGCTTGGGTTTACAAAGCCCAGGTGGTGCCCGCGGTCTCCCTTCACCCCTGGCCGGGCAGGACACCCTCCCACCCCTCACAGCGTGAGATCTGCACCTTCCCGAGGACGGGGATTTACTGGCAGAGGACGTCCGTGGCGTTTGCTCCCTGTTTTCTGTTCCCTGCGACACAGAGAGGGGCTTCAGACTATGGAAGCTCTTTCATTTGGGGGTTTATAGAGATATATTTCTAATTGGATTCTGGCATGTCACGGTTATTTTCAAGGCAGCCTGTAATTATTCGAGAGTGTAGCTCAGATCGCCTCCTTTCTCCTAGCACAGAGGTTTTTTTAATACTGTTTCCCGAAATGAAATTGTGAATTTGCAACTTAATCCAATGAGAGGACACACGCGATGCCATCATCTGCAAGGGCACAGTGAGGAAGCGTGATTCACGTTTCCCAGCTTCGTAATCAATTCACAGCAAGAATAAAAAAGCAAAAGCAATATTTTAATTTTTTCCAGTGAGGGGGAAAAAAAAAAAAAAAAATCGTTTAAGAAGCTGCTCTATGCTCATGGATGTTTTGTGAGCTGGGGAGGTTTTGCTGGTCCTGCTGTACCTCAGCCCAGCCCTGCAGAGATGCTGAGCACCGCGGAGATGCAGCCAGGCGCAGGGCAGCCCGTGCATTGTCTTGGCACGGCCGGATCTCCCGGCAAACCTGGGGCCTTGGCAGAGGAGGGTGGTCAGATGCTGTTCTCAGGCTTTTTCTCTCCCAGCTGAAACTTGATGAAATTGCCATTAGTTTGGGTTTTGTTTGGTTGGTTGGTTGGTTGTTTTTTTTTTTTACATGTGTTGCAATTTTTTTAGGGCCAAAATAATTTCATCCAGCTCCATCTGCTCTCCATTAAGTAACTGAAGCTCGAGCAGGTCAGATCCTGCCATCCTCACCAGGGATAACCCCCCCCAGGCCAGGCACTGCCATCACCCCAGTGCTGCAGTTGTTATTTCAGTGCCCAGAACGGGCACAAATGAAAACCATTATCTAAGCAAAGTTTTCCAGCATCTAGCAGCTAACCAGCACGAGGCAGTTAGTGACCATACCACGGCCCCATTACACCCCAGCAGCCTGAAGTCCTTGGTTTTCTTTAAGCCCGATTTCAGGGCTCGCTAGCTATATTCAATTGCTTACAGAATCTGGTTTATTATTTACGTTGCAAGGTACAGCCGGGCTTGAATTGATTTGCCGTGCTCTGATTGTCACTGCACGCTGGTGTGGGATCTGGAAACTGGTTGCACACGCAGTCAGGCAGGGATTCAACAGTTAGGGAACGCCAGGCTTAAAGCTGCCCGGCCATCCTGGTGCTCCACGTTCTGTTGCCGCCTTTGGCTGCGTCTCGCGGGGTGCGGGGAGAGCTGGTCCTGGGCAGGGGGGTGAATTGCTGATGTCCCCCCAAGGGTTGTCACCCCATTGCTGCAGGGGAGATCAGGCGGTTGCAGTGCGTCTTGTTGAAGCAGCCCGGGTCTGGGG